GTTGCGGCGACTTGTTGGCGGTTGACTGTTTGATATCACGGGGGCGGCGTGGCTTGGGGGTGGGTTTGAAGCGCCCCTCTTGCCTTGTCTGTAAGTAAGTTCTGGTGGGAAATGAGCCTAGGGATTCATATTTTGGCACCATTCATAGCTTCTGTTACGAAACCATCAATCACAAGTGTTCATTCTCGTCTTGGGGAGAGAGAGAGAGACTTGCCTCCTGCACTGCCAAGTGTGGCACTGCCCTTTGTGATGTGTAATCCATCACCTCTACCACGACGACGAAGACAACCATCACCATCTTCATGATCAACATCATCAAGTCTTGGCCCTTTCGCGTCCCTCATTACGCGGCCCGGCGAACAACTCATCCTCACATCGTTATCGCCCACGAATAAGCAAAGCGGTTCACCACACATTGGCACAACTGGTTGGCAGTTGTCAACAAGCACATGCGGCTTGGGGTAGATCTCCCGGAACCTTGCTTTCTACATTACGACTCTGTTAAAAGAGGCACAGGGCTGGTAGAATGCTGCCTCATTGGTCAACCGTCCCACGTCACCATCTGTGGCTGGGCACTCTTTCGGAAAGACAAGGAAGATTCCATCAGAGGGGGGCATCGACGACGATTGGCTTTTTTTCTCCTCTCCTTTCGCCAAGAAAAGCAGGCCACCGCCCTTTTTCTACGGCCTGCTCCCCACGGGGATCTACGGTCCTGCATATGACCTATAAGCATACCTTGAGGCTTTTAGCCGAAGGGGGAGGAGGAGGTTGGTTGGTTGGTAACTTGTGACTGGCTAGTTGGTTTTTTGCTTGGCTCTTTGTCCAGAAGTCTTTACCTAGTCAGCCTTGTCAGGACGATTCTATCCGTATACTCCCGTACGGACCATACCCGCCGGACGCCGTGCCGCCGTTGGAGAGAATGCTATTCTTGTACAGAATGCCTGTGGGATGATATCTGATCTACGTGTGTGAAGAAGATGTATCATTCAATGGGTGATCTTCAACCGGGATGTTTTCTTTTCTGTGTAGTGTGACATGTATGTGTGTTCACCCCATGTTACGCTCCCCCCTTCCCTTCGGCACTTGCAAATTTTGGAACTGGTTCCCTCCATCGTCGTTTCTAAACTCCCCTAGTTACGCGGGGGGAATGGGGGGGGATGGAACTTGGGGGTTGGATGGCATGGCGGGGAGTTTTTGATAGGTGCCCGACGGTGACATTTCCTGGGGCCGGCAACGGCGACGGCGGCGCGGCCTTTTTTTGACACGACACGGTCCAGATGGCAGATAAAACGAAAGGCACCCCGTGGGAAGAGTCATCACGGAGAGCAATCCGGAATCATCATTTTTCCCAATCGAGCCAGAGGGGGAACATTTGGCCGTATCGAGAATAGAACATCTACCCGTGCGGCTAGGGGGATCGGGATTGACTATTGTTTTGAAGCCAAGAGTGGCATGTTGCTTGAAACTTCTTGGCTTGTCGAGGTGTAACTACTACAATAGGAGAATGACAAACACGGGGGAAAGGCCGTCTATGCTTTGGAGACCTTCTTGGCTTCTCTTTGGGGATGTAGACAAGAAATCGGTTACCCGGCTTGATTGGTGAACAAAATCCATCAATGCCTGAGAGAGAGAGAGAGAGGAAAAGAAACGCCAATGCCGATCTGCCCCAGCGTCAACCGGGGCCAAGACCGATAATTCGTGAGTATCGAAAAGCTTCAATGCCGGTAAATCGTCTTGGGGAAAAGGCTTGGGTACTCTTGGGGACTCTTGGAAACTCTTGGGTGCTCTTGGCGGGTTTGTAAAGGTACACTAGGTGTTTTGGATGGGGAGAAACCAACTGGTCGAGAGCACTTTTGTGTGTTACTTTTTTGAGGGGGGAAAGATACGATGAGACGAAAATGGAAAGAGAGTTCAAGAGAAGTTCAGACGTCTCTTCTTGTTGACTGTCTTCCCGCCCGACGGGATTGATGGGCGATCACTTTTCCCTGTACGGGATAGGCAAACCCCAAGCGTCGAGCGCGCCAAGAATGTCGAAGCATGTGTAGGCATGAATTCTACGAGCGCCACAGGCTACAGAGGCTACAGATTTCTCTCTCGAGGAACGTGTGCCGTCTCTACGTCGTTTGAGGTGGTTGCAGAAAGACCGTTAGGAGGTCCCCCCTCAATCCCCCTCCGTGTGAGCATCACATCTCTGCAGCGCAGTTTTGTCTGCGTCTTTGTCTTACCTTTACCTTAGTCAATCACATTGTTGATCTCTCCTGCGGCGGGATTACTATGTATAACTCCATCCAACCATATGCCAAAACTGGTAAAACGGACCCTGCAGGACTGTACACGCCCAGGGTAGGCACGAGCCATGTTTCCAAAACGGCGAAAGTTGATACGTGCCGCAAGTTATTACGGCACTTGGACGACCACAGTAGGGCTTGGCAAAGTCTTGCGCTGAATCAGTTGCAGTCTTGCCAAGACAATGTCGAGGGACGTCCTGACGAGTGACATCCGCGAACCAAAGGAAAAAAAAGGGAAATCGAGGCTGGGCCTGCAGGATCATGGGGAGCACATCGCATAACCCCAAAAATCACCGAGTTACACCGATTGAACCATCAATCACCCCCATGGGGACGGCCAATTGACCGGTGGCTTTCTTGGTTCACAACCTGGAAAGGGACTCCATTCTTGGGGCCTGCCCTTGGGGTATCCTCTCTGCTGTTTGGAGAAAATACAGGGCATCGTTTTCTCTTTGGTAACGGGCGTGACAGGTAAGTGGTCGGCCATTGGGGGCCGTGTTCAGAATGGAAAACGGCCGATCACTATCGGCCTCACCCACTACCAAGCTCATGGGAGCCCACCAAAGGGTTGGCCTTGGTTGGTTGAATTGCAGGAACTTTGAGTGAACCAAGAACCTGCTGGAAGCCTGGTGTGCCTGGAAACCCGGGTCGGAGATGGCCTTGTCATCGTCGGTGCTCCAAACAAATGGGACCGGAGTTGAAGAATACTGGGGAAGGACGATGGGGAAGCAAAGAGATGGAGGAGAAACTGGAGCCTCGCGAACGGTAGCGTGCCCTCGTGAGTCGTGAAAGCCTCATCCATGGTGCGCGCCCGCGCGGAGATGTGCGTGTGGGCAAATCACAATCTCTCCGAAATAATGAGGCGGTCAAGATCCGCGGACTCTTCTTGTTTAGCAGCGGGTATTTCTGCGCTGCGGCATGGCCAGCCCGGCCCTCGATTCGCGCCGACCGCCGTCCGGGTATAGCACGAACGTCGTCATTCGCGCAAACTGCATCGAATCGACCACGCCGGTGCGGTCCCGAGGTACGGAGATGGGGACGATGGGGCAGGCGGGTTTGCCCTTATTTTCTTTGTATTAATCCTTTTTGTTCATAAAAGGCAAGGAGATATAACCCGATCCGAGGCGTGTCATTGGCCAGGACAACCTGGGAAAGCATGGAATGCCAGGAATGGATACCGAGGACACGAAGAGAATGAGAGTGATATATCCATCGGCGCGATTAGCCCCATATCCACAGGGAACCACTAGCCTCTATCCGTAGTGTAAAGGAACCGAGGAGGAATGGGATGGAGTTCCCATAGTTGCACTAAAACGATTCGGCCCATGCCCAATTTTAGGGAAGGGGGCCTTTTCCTCGGATGGGTGCCACAGGACGACGACGAGGACGACGACGACTACGACAACGACGGGACGTCAGAGAGGGACCCCTGGGTTCTCCTCCGTCAGACTCAGACTTGGACTGGGTAATTGATGGGAACCTGTTTGACGACGCGCCGTTTCTGGGAAACCCCACGTCACGAATCAGCGAAGCGCGAAGAGACTCATGGCAAAACGAACCGAAGGCATAAAATAAGAATAAAACTGGATACTCGTTTTGAGCAGAAAACAGGGTCTCTAGTGGCTGGGAGTGGAGTCGAAGGCTGATTCAAGCTGAGAACGAGGACGAGGATCGGAGGACGAGGATGGCAAGCGCCTCCGCCGCCGTAGGACCGTAGGACGGCTGACGGCTAGACTGATGGAGCTCTGGGGGTTGTTTTTGTTCGAGGTCGTTCGCCCGGTTTCAGTCAAAGTGAAGATTGGTAGCTGGTCATTGCCGTTGACTTTTTTCTTCTTCTGATGACAAGATGGGATAATGCAACACGACGGAACTCTCGCGGTTGCATCTGCCCTGTCATTTACGGATACCACGTTGGAAATAGAAGCTTGAGGGACTCGGTACATGGTCTGGTCTGGTATGGTTCGGCTCGAGGCCTGACATCCCATCTGTTGGTGTTGGCGTTGGTACTGGTGCGGCTGCTTTCTTGCTGCAGCATTATCTTGAGAGAAGAATTTGTTTGGGGGAGACGAGGACGCCACGCCGTCGGCCCTTTTCCGACTCCCAGACCGCCACATTCGCTGTGCTATGCACGCCTCACTGAAATCAACGCCTTCTGAGGAGCTTTCAGTATGAGCCAAATAACTCACCGAGGTATCGTCCTAACATATCTAGATTACTCCACAACTCTACGGCGTATTCCCAGGTGCAGAGGCGGCTCCGTTCTGTTTGGACGAGGGGCCCGCGTTTCCAACGTGGAGGGTTACATTCACCTACCGCCGCAGTGTATCCGTAGTACCGTACCCGTCGTGCACCAACCCGACCCGACCACACACGTCGATGAGGCGAACTGTGCGTTTTGCGGACGCTAGGAGACTTGTTGAACCCTTGACTGGTTGTGACATGCAGGAACTCTGGGGTTCGCTCATCGGCTGCAACTTTGCGCGCGTGTACCTTGGGGAGGTAGGTACTTGACTGTTTGTGTGTGCAACCCTGACAAAAACGAGACGGTCGCATCGACCTCGGCGAGAGTCGTATCTCAGTCCGTATCTTTTGAGGTCGTATTCTTAGGGGCCTTCAACCTTGAGAAGGGAACGTGGAGTGTGGGAGGGTTGCGGCAACATTTGGCGATCTTGGACGACGGACGAACAAGCGCGACACATTTTTGACACGGCACTAAGGTACGCTCCCACGGCTCCCACGACGTTTCCTCTCACTGTCGTCCATGGTCCAGGGCCAGGCCAGGCACAGACGATTCCTGAGTGCTTCCCGCGACGTGCGCCCCCAAAGCCAAGGGAAGGGTATAGAGTGGCTGGGGGGAAGGGGGGGCCGGGTACGCAATGGTGGATGGGTGACAGTGACACCGGCAAGTGTCAAGGGCACAGAAGACAAGACACCATCGAAGAGATACAAGCCTCTAGTGGCCGATCTACAGATATCGGCTGTACTAGGGCGGGCATCATGTCGACGGGCACATCCGCCGTTGAAGAGTGACAGTGGTGCGCGGCCAGTGTTGGCGTTTGGTGGCGTAGTGACTATGTGTAGTGTGCGGATAGTGTGCGGTGCGTGCGGTGTGCGGTGTGCGATAGGTGTGTGCCATGTGTGTTTATGTCGTGATGTGCCGTTGGTGGTGTAGGGGTTTTGGTTGGACGAGACCGGGGTGAGGAATAGAGAGAGGGAATGCCAAGAGAAAGGAGGCTCAATCGGCTGTGCGACTCGACATTGACGACATTGTGAATGTGAGCTTGCGTTTCGACCGTGGCTTTCAAGTCTGTGATGGTGTTGTGGTTGGATGTCGATGGCAGGCTGGGAAGCGATGGAGTTTCTCTGACACGCAGCCAAGTCCAGCCCAGCCCGCCTGCCGCAGCTTACGCAGATCACCGCAGGTGAGGCAGGCGCGGCAGGTGAGCAAGGTGAGGGAGGCAGGTGGAAGGCAGTTGAATGAGGAAAAGGATTGGCAGGAACCTCGAAGTCACTCAAAGCACCCAGGCAAGGCAGTTGAGTACTTGACAATACTTGGCACTTGCCGTTCGGAGTGCCGTTCATGTTTCTGAACCTTGACGACTTCCAATGTTTGCATATCAAGATATCAGCAAATGCAGGAACGTCGACGTCGAACTTTCCCGCCGCCACTACCGCCTCCGTCGCCTTCGCCGGACGTTGACTGTTTTCTCCCCTTTCCTTGTCCTTCCATGTTTAATCATACCTTGGATATGGCGTTCTTTGTCTTACATTGTTCGTCGGCCGCGCGGGACCAGGGTCGAGGTACGGACGACGACTCGAATCAACAAGGCGGCATATTGTGGTTCTGTAGTTCTGCACAAGAGACGGAAAGTCAAGTACAAGGAACCCCCACTCAATGAACGAGGTCCCTTGTTGCACAAATCGGTTTGTTGTTGGTTCTTATCTTGCATCCCACAGCCTCGACCATACCTGTACGAAGTACTCCGTACTGGCGCACGCACAAGCCATCCGAAGACAGGGCAGGGTGGCAGGGCACCTTGTCAGGCTTGTTAAAAGTGCAAGGCTCACAGCTAGTGTACGGATAACTCGACGGGAACAACCAGAGTCGGAAGAGCCACCCGACGCTTGATAGGCGCCATCGGTGGCTCGGGTCAATTGACTTCGATTATGACGATGCAAGTGGCCATTTCACCGGTCACGGTCCAAGCTCACGACTCGACAGCGTAAGAGGTCTGTCACTTGAGGCTAGAGTCTAATTGCTAAGCCTCAATCAACGAAATATTCAAATCATTGAAGTCAATGCCCTTGAGGTTGGAAACTTGGGGCCTGGGTAGGGGTTGGGGGGAAACCGAAAGCCCCATTGTATGTTTGTTGGTATTGAGCAGGAGAACGTTGCGTAATTTGTGATATCTGATTTTCCATCATCAATGGTCGCCGAGTGCCTGCCTGTCGCAGTGCCGTGCCTGGCGTACGGAGTACCTACCTGCCTCTGCCTGTCTTTCGTAAATTCGGCCTGGTACTCCGGTTTCCCCCAGCTTTTTTATTTCATTAGGGTAATCTTGGCAAGTGAGGCTTGGGTCAAACGGTCAAGTCACAAGTCGCAATTGGAGTGTGAGATGGTCATGTCTCGGTCCCACTATTTCCTTCCAACCTTTTTTTTTTTTTTTGGTCCACAAAAAACTGCAGCAACGCACCTAAGGGAAGGAGAGAACCGGAATGGGCGCTATGCTCCCTTTGGTAGGCAGACACGGCAGGAAGTGTCCAGGGCCCAAAAGTTCGCATCTCGGTAATGACGCGAGATGCAGGACCGGGTTTAAACGAAGAGAGAGCGAGAGGCACCAAGCTTTCCCGAACATTGAGCCTTTGATTTCCCTTCAGCCTGATTTCCTTGATTTCTTGCGAAGTTGGGGGGCCCGTAATCCGTTGCCAATGCCATTTCGGTCCCGTCTTCTCTTTCGTCAGAACCGAAGCCGCGGTAAATCCACCATCCATCCACAAAGTGACCACTGACCACTCATCCACCCCAGGTTCCCTGTGAGCAAATGGAAGAGTCCAGGTTAGGCTTGGCTGCCCATGAGATTACTTTGTCAAGCGAGCCGCGACATTGAGAGAAAGATAGGGAAAATCTCCTTTCCCCAAAAAACAAACCGAGAGAAGACCGGACGGGGTGAGCGACGGACGCAACACACATAGTCACACACAAACAAGTCTACTGATACCAAGTTAGTGTTACCAACATGGCCATGGAACACATGCCTCCCCAGGCCTCGGCAAAATGACCCAGCGACTTGGGGAAATTCCTCATCCAGGCACGCCAACGACTAATCTTGGCCCAACTTCCAAGCCCGGGCCAACAAGGCACATTCGTCAGAGGACAAGGCAATCGAGCGCCAAAAAATAAATAAAAAAAATCGTCCTCTTATCTTCCTCCCGAGTTGAATACAGATCACGGATCGCGCGCCAAGCGGTTGTTTCCGAACACATCCTGGTCGTGCGACGCGAGGGTCGGTCTTAACCAAAGCTTCTACCAATCCCTGTGCCACACAACGCTACGGTTACCACGAAGGAGGTTCAAGGCAACCTGGAAAAGAGACTGAGAAAACACACAGACGCACGCTTGCAGTCCCAATTCGTCCCTTCAGATTCCTTGGATGTTTGATCTTCCACAGTGTGGACTGTTTCAATTCAACCACGACGACGACGATTCCCGCGACGCGGCAAGGCAAAGAAGGAAAGGAACAGCATCCCCGTTCCGTCCCATTCCATCCCATCCTCACCCTTCGAATCAGGAAGACGCAGAGACAGAAAAGAGCCACAGTGAAAGACAGAAGAGATACCAGGACAGAACGGAGAAACGTCGAATTGCCGACATTGCATGGGTATCCGTACCTGAATTGTACCCACACCCTGGACAATTCCGCAGTTCCCACACTTGCAGAACATTGATCCACCGATCCATTCAACCCAGCGCTGCCAATCCAATCCCACCCCGTCTTCTTCTTCATCGATCCCAGCCAATGACGGCTCGGATATTCGTTGACATGCATTGGCAGGCCAAAGGTGGGCTAGCTAGCCTGCAAGGGCCCCGCAAAATTGCCGTGTTTGTCGTGTGTCGAAAATTCCCGCCCACACGGCTGCTGCACCGAGACTGCGGGACTTTTTCTCCCAAAGCACCGAAGGTTGGATGGGATTTTCCACGTTCGTCTGGCAAGCGCAATGGCATCGCTCTATCCAGCGACAGGACGATCGCAGAAGACTCAAAAAAGGACAGGACAGGCAGAAGAACACGGCACCGAGAGCGAGCCCAGCTAGAACAATCAGACAGAAATGACAGACTTCCGGGGCCCAATCCCGCCATGTCTTGGCAAGTTCTGGTTGGGGGGCTTGGCTGAAGCTGAAGCTGGTTTCTTCTTACCGTTGTAGGCCCCAATTGTCTGTTCTCAATTTCTGAGCAGACACAACAACAAGCCCCATGGCTGGGTGTGTTCTGTCACCACTATCATACTTTGGCGCGTACCTCAGCAATGACGATTCCCATAAACTCTCCCGGCCACCCTCTCCTATGCAAGTCCAGCACATCAATGGGACTTTTCACAGCCGCAATCGAGAAAAGGAAGAAGCAAAGGTCGGACGAAGATTGAGTTCCCAGGCGGAAGGACTGGCCACCAATTGGCAACGTCGGGGAGAGAGAAGAGACACGAAAAGGGAGGACGAGAGGGAAGGCAACATAACGAAAAAAGAGCGAGCAAAAAGTGAATTTGCATAGGCTCGGCCACTGCCCGCGTATCTGCAGCTCGCAGCACGTCAAGAGAGAAACCCCACGGCAACTGAAGCTCCAGAACCCCTGTTCGATCGAGAGGATTGATGGGGATCGAGTGGGTTCCCTGGGGCTCTGCAGGGGCCTTGTCATTGGAGCAAGGGGACCCTCCTCGTCAGCTTGCTGCCCCAGGAACTCCTCTTCTTTTCATTCTAGCGTTGCTGCTAGTGTTTTCCTATCGTGGCAGGCATCTCCATGGAACCGAACCGGTGCCCACCCAGTGTGCCACTGAGCCAGTGGTCCCCCCATCCATGGCAAGGAAAATGGGCTCCAGCAATGCATTGCGCGAACGGTTTCCCTTCGATGCCGCACACACCAATGCACGATGTCCCTGAGTCGGAAAAGTCAGGACTCGCCTCCTCCTCCAGGCTCGCTCCAGGCGGGCTCCAGGCTTGGCTTAGGACGTTGTGGCTCCTCCCACCAGTGCCAGACAAGCAGCAAAGGCCCAGCGGTAGCGGAGCGCGACTCTTTGCAGCGTGTTACGCCAGAGATTGCACACGGATCATCCAACGGGTCTCGTTCGCGCGAATCTCGCTTTTGGCCACGTTGGTCCAATGGCGTCTTCCCGGTTTCCCACTGACTAGTCGAGTCCTCACTTCCGCTCGCGCGTCGAGTCGTCGGAGGTCGGAGAGTAATTCGCAGCTGGGTATCCGTGAAGGAGAGTCGTTGGAAACTTCGTTGGAACGGGGTTCGTCGACAGGAGTGACCGGTCAACGGGCCGGCCGACTTGCCACATTGAACAGCAATCATCCATCCAGCTCCGTCTGGAACCATAACCCATCATCATCTCGCCTCCGACTGCCATGCTGGCCATATCTTTGTCGAGACCACTTGACTACTCTGTATTACACGCTGCCTTGCGTGCCGAGATGCGAGAACCAGGCAGGTTGACGTATCCGTAGCGCTTCCACTTTCACCACATCCAAGCCAAGAGTAAGACCAGTCAGGTCCTCCCCCAGGATACGGCCAGAACGAGCCAAGTGGCGTTCTTGACTTCCGTGGGTGAGGCATTTGATGGACGCCAGGCAAGTCGGTCAAGCCAGGTTCAAGCGCAAATGAGGACATTGGGATTATACACCGCGGGCACACCGCACAAGCTGCAGTGCTGCACACACGCATACGGCGGCGCGCGAACGGGACCCCAATATCCCGCATCGTATGCGCTGCCCGCACTGCACAAAATCTGCCTCATTTTTTTCCTTGGCCCGCAAAGTGACTTTGCAGCTTGAACGTCGCCGATTCATTTCCCACCCCCATCCAATATTGCGGTGTTTTCTTCCCCATTTCCCCATATCCATATGCCCCAACATTAATCAGTGTAAGTGTGTACTGTACGTAATTGGATAGTCACGACACATGGCGTCAAACTGTCTTGTCTTAATGTCTCCGTACCGTGGCAAGTAGAAACTACTCATACTGCTATTCCGGGAAACCCATACGCTACTACGATACCGTTGCACTCTTGATCGAGGTTTGGTTTTGGGCTTGGCCGGGGGAAAAAAGGCTTGGCAGGTTTCTCCCCGGAGTATTTCGTTGGTTGGATTTGTTTTATTTTATTTTATTTTGGGTTAAAGATTTCGCCTGCAGTGCCAGTGCCAGTGCCAGCGGTGAAGAGCTTAAAAAAAGAAATACGCTAACGGGTGTGTAGTGTAAGAGAGAGAGAGAGAGAGGCAAGGCAAACGCGCAACACTTTGGGATGGGATGGTTCACGTATAGCCTCAACTCAAGGCCCGTCGCGAGGCAGATCGCTTGACGGTGTTTCCAAGGAAAGACTTGGCGATGCTTGGGGGAGGGCAAGAGGCAGTGTCACAGTGAGAGCTCAGAGCAGACTCAGCAGAGAGAGAGACTGATGGCTTTGACCGCCGTCCGTCACTTTTGTGTTATTCAAAACCCTACGAATCGTGAAAGGGCCACCCTCTTCACACGCAACCAAACACCCTTCGCCGCGGTCTATTCCGGGGATTTCTTGGCGCTAGCTCTCGAGTGGCATCGCCAGAGAACTTGCATCACCGCAGTCGACGGCAAGACGTGGACATGACAATTCGAGTCTTGGCAGAGGCTCTATCCTGGCTGCCCGTCCAAGTGCCCGTCCGCACTGTACGGCGGAAGCAAGACGGAGTTGGGGAGTTGGAGTTGCAAGTGATGGCGGCGTCCAATGCTTCAACTTTCAAAGACCTCTCTGGTCGAGTGGTCCTTTGTCGTTCCCGCCTCGGCTCCTCCAAAAAGGAACTTTTCCACCCCCCACTATGCTGCACCGCACCGCACTGGACTGCTGTGCAAAGCGGTTCTCAGTGCCGGTGCAGATGTGCAGAAAGGTCCAACAATGCAGCATCAGTCTGCAAGTAGTGCAAACTGCAAAGCCGGGACGCGAAGAGGTGGGTGGATACCAAGCGGAAAGGGTTCGCCGTACGGAGACTCCAGTCTCCAGAATTGAAGCCAGCTACGGTAAGGTTGATGGAGGGACTTCGGAGAGGTACAAAGATACCTACCTATTTGGTGCTGGGTTGCTTATCGCGCGTGGACCAAGGCTTTCCAGGGTTCAGAGGCACAGAGCAGAGGATTCAGAATCTCTTCGATAACAAGGCAAGGAGATACGGAGTACTTCGTACCTAGGACGAGGCGGCGATGAGGCGAGTCACGTGACGTGGGTTTCGGAGCAGAGCTGAAACTGTCGCGACCACAAGGGGCCGGACGAAAAGAGATGGGGAGTGGAGGACAAAGAGTACGTATTGCGATACCGCACACGGTACGTAGCTCCGGGGCTCTGGAGGGGTCAATTTTCCCTTCAAGGGGGGGTGCGGTCGTCCAATTGGAGGGGCAAAGAAATCCCCCCCCCTCCCTCACCCCCCCCTCCCGACTCCCGACTCTCTTCTTCTCTCTGCTCACTGTACTGTGTCACTCCAGTCTGCAGCTCCCAGTCTCCCAGGTCCCAGTCCCGACTCCCAGTCCCAGATAGTCAAACGTCTCTTGTTCTTTCAACCCACGGAACCTGTCCTTTAGCAGGGGGTGTGTCCGGGTCCGCGCTCAACGTGGACTAGACAGATGGGACACTACCTCACAACCGACGGAACTCTGGAGACTGGAGACTGGAGAATGAGAATGGAGCTCGACTTTTTGCGGCCGGCGCGCGGGGGGTTGCCCGAGAACAGAGAGGTGCAGAGCTCGACGAAATCTCGGAATTATGTCTGTGTCAAGTACGTAGCCTACGGTGTATTAGCTCCTCTTCTTTTTGACCTCTTCTTTTTTTTCCCTCAAATCTTTTTTATTGACGTGCCCAGCAAGCGGCCAGCCCAGCCAGCCAGCCAGCCCAGTCCATCCCGCCATAACCACCACCCCCCCAGGACACACCGTGGTAGTACTACTGAGGCATTTTATTTTTGTATCATAGAGACTTGAACTTGACCCCCATCTTCACCCTCTGCCCCCATACAACTGCAAGTCACTAGAGAGTTTCTTCCTCGAAACGCACGACTCACGCTGGCTTCCCCTTGTTGTCAGATATCCATCCTCGCATCCTGGCAGATGAGACAGCGAGTTGTCTCTGTCTTGATAGGTCGGCCCGTCTAATGGGGCATCTGGGGGACCAAATTTACGCTAGAAGCTGGCCAATATTCTTCCACACAGAAGAGGCTTGGCCCCAAAAAAAGGCACGAGACATGGAAGAGACTCGGAGAGAGAGAGAGAGATAGCATAGCACGGCACGGCACACACACACAAGCGCAGAAATGAGAGAAAGAGAGAAAGCGAGGCAAGCCAGCCGCAAGCCGCCAAGCTAATGGAAAGGAACGCGGGTCCCAAAGGTCCCCACGTCCAACGCCGTACCGAGTAGTAGGCTGGATTGCCCTGCCAGCCAGCTCCTAGTGGTAGCTCCCCAGTTCTTCGGCACGAAGTCCTCGTCTCTTGCCTTGTCAGTGTCTCTCTAGTGGCAGTTAGCTGTACGGAGTACCTCGTACACAGTGGTACATACTGGCAGTGACAGACAAAACCTTTGCCTTTCTCGGTCCAGTTTTTGCTCTATGCTCCTACTGTACTGCTGCTCCTGCTATTGCTGCTCCCTCTGCTCCTATTTTTTTCTTGTGCCAGACGTTTGCCCAGCGGCAAAAATGTCCCGTCGTCTCTACTCTGTACGGTACCCTTGCTCGAAATAGCATCGACGTCGCTCGCCCGGTCACAGTGTGTGGGTTTTTCCCTCACCCGCATCTGTTTTGATGCTTGCAACTTCTTGGCGTTGATCCGAGCAAGACGGGGTACGCAGCTACACGCCGGTCCCTTGTTCACACACACACACCTACCACACAGCTCATACACGCCGACGCCGCGGTCTCTTGCCTCTCGTCTCGTTTCTTGCCTCTCCATTGCCGCGCGAGGGTACTCCGTACGAAAGTACGGATTAAGGTATGGGACTATGGCACAATGCCAGTCTACCTTTTTTCCCCCTTCCACCCTGGGGGCCATGGCCCATGCCGTACCTTGCCTTGCCTTGCCTTGGTCCCATCTTCTTGTTCCCATCCGCGGAACCTCTTCGACCAGTCCGGCCTCGCCGTTTGACAGATGTAATATAATATGCCCCATTCTCCCACCGTGATTCATGTCTCTTCTGGCTTAGCCTTCTTCCTCACCCTGCTCTGCCCCTCCTTCCTCTCTCCTCCCTCATCCTCTTCCTTCCTA